TTTATTTTAGCTTTAAGAATTATATCTTCAACTGGAGACTTCCTACATTGAGACTCTCATCTGGGGCCATTTCTCGCAGTTCGCAAGGTGGTTGAAAGCGATACTCTTTTAAGCTTTTTGTTATTTCATATCCGACTGTTAGGATTAGTCAAACATGTGATAATAAAGCGATGGGTGATTCGAGATCAATCTGCCGTCGAAAATAAAACAAAAATCAGCGGCAATAAATCGATCTTTCAGTTTACTTTGTCATCCGACCTACTCAACAACTTGGGTCGCTCTCGTAGTATTATATATATAGTGTATACGGGTGTATTATAAACTGTTCATACATTTCGTACGATCTTTTCGAACTTTCCTGATGTAATTCACGGTCATGCTCTGTACCCGTTGTAACTTCCTGTATAGATATATTGACTGTGTTCTAGCGAAAAATATCGCCGGGACGAGCCGACAACTTCGCGGCATATTTCCTATTATTCTCATGCCACTTACCCATTTGCCTACATACAAATATAGAATAGTGTGACCTGAGATATCTCGTTTGATAAATGTCTGCTCGGTACTAGCACCGTTGTGACTCAACAGCGCCTACGTCGAGTTGCGGTTAGAGCGGCGGAACCGACATCGACGAAAAACAATCAACAACAACAGCTTCCATAGCGGCTATACCCGGTTTATAAGAACCTGGCTCCCATACATGGGAGAGGATAACTCCTACTCCATCATCAATAGACCATTCCATGTACAGCTCCGGCAAAACCGAACGTACGGTAAGCCAAGCAATCGTATCTACAAGGTGCTATCATAAAAACGTACACGTACGCATACACATACATGCACACCCCTACCCCCTGCATATTACAACTCAGAGCGGTATCGTTTTATATCCTTAAGGTTTTTAGAGACACTCGTACACTCCACTCGCCTGCTTCTTAATTATTTTCCCGTGTAAACGGTTTCATCCGCGTCATTGAGCGTTGGCCGGAATCTTGGTAAACGTTTGGTTATTTTTTGGACCATAAGAAAAAAAGGACATATAAGAAAAGGGGGCGTAGTTAACGACAATTGCAATGTAACAATAATACATAATAGCAATACTGGCCAAGGGCGCGCACATTGTTTTATACTAATCTCATCATTTTGGCGTCTTTCCTCTGCAAGGACGGAACAGAACAATACTGTTGGGGGGCCGGCCTTGTGATTAAATTGTAATAACAACACAATCAAATACGATGACAAATTGGCGCTACTCAGTTCCAAGCTTATCAACAGATCTGGCCCGAAGTGTTCTTTAAGGCGAGAGTAATGAAAATGTAGTGAGTCGCTGTACAAGACATCAATCTAACATATTAATAAACAACTTCAATAAAATTAACGAGTGCGTAGACGGCATAATCTGTCAAGAGCTGTCTTGGACTAGTGAAAGTTCGAACGAAAATATCGATTCTTCTATTTTCTATAAATATAACTGCACTATTGCGAGAAAAGTCTATCTCATCACGACTGACATGTTGGATTTTGTCGAAAAAAAAAACAACTTAGAAAGGTCACATAATTATAGTTTAATTAACAAAATATTATATATATAAAAACTGACAATTTTGTTATTTAACATTGTATTCTTCTAAAACTACTGGATTCAACTACGGCTTTAGCTCAGTTAACTGTGTTTGTTAAATTGATATAAGTGGGAAAAATAAAACACAAAAACGAGCCTACACACTCATCAGTTGATTTACATGATTTCAAAGCAAGCATTTGGCTACTGAATAGGTGTTACGTTGTAGTCGAAGTTTATTAAAGAATCTGGCATCTCATCGTCTCGGAAGTTCTACCGAGCAATAACAATAGCTCAACATGTATGAGCGACCATAAATAAAAGATCAAGGCCGTGCTGATTTGACCTTACACACAGCTTGACGTTAATGTGTTTGCTTTCAATCACTGTCAATAGGGGAGTATAAGCAAGCTATAATTGACGCATGTGTCGCTATTAAAGACTGCTCCATAACAAAATGTTTGTTGAATTGTTGTGAAGAACAAAAGTCAACCCCGGATCATGTACACGCCTTGGGTGTTCACTATATTCCGAAAGTATTTACTTACCCTTTTACTAGTGCCGGCCTTCTTCTTATTTACGTATCTGTCAAGCAGCGACCGTCCTCAAGGTGCGATTATCGACGACAAGCGTGTGTCAGGCTATTTGATTTCGTTCATCTATAAATTTAATTGGATGAGTATTGTTTACTTTTATACACTCAGTTATTGCGCGCTTGCTTACTCCTGTAGTCGCCCAGGATATCTATGTTTTAATAAAACAACACTCGTCCTTCGTAGCTGTTCGTCCTAACAAAATAAAAAACCAACGCCAGATTATCTCCAAATAATTCTCTATAAATGCTAAATGTCATTTGCCCGCTAAACAATGATATTTGTGCGCACTGATTACTCATTGTACATGTTATTATCCAATCAACCGAAAGAAGTTCAAGAAGTCTTCAAAGAAGACATACTGCTTTACGACAGCTGTTGACGTGGAAGTGGTATACGCAAACTTAGGCCGCGAAGCACCTTCAACGCATCGTAGAAGCTGGACACAACACTCGCAGTCATAACGTGACGCTGCCTCATGTTATTTGTCACTTTATCTACCCATACAGGCCCGACATATGGATAATTCAAATAAACGACTTCGTGCCCTGACCCGGGTTTGCTGGAAACTTGCCGAATGCAGGTCGCGGTATTGTCGCTTTTTTTTTGTTAGTCTTTACTGTTCATTCGTCAACGCCCGTCGTTGCAAGTTGAGGCGTCTAATCCTTTCTGAGGGCAGTAGTGCACTGACCAACACGACGACGCTCGTTATCTCAGGATGAAGTTTCTACAGTCGTTCGAACTAGCCAAGCTTACTCTGGCTTTTCCGATCGAAGTCTATTTCCTTCTTCGAGCAGTGTTCCGTTAACATCGCCATCAATGTCACTGAGGATCAGTGGCTTATGCTAATTCATATTGGACGAAACTGCAAGTCCTGTGACAATTTTTATTATATTCGGTTCAACTTTTCGTAAATAACCAGCTTTATATGTAAGCAGAGGAAACAACTGAAGCAGAGATAAGATCGTTACTTTTGTATATTGAAAATGTTTTTTTATACTATGGAACATTTATGTGTCGCTAGCGGCATTCAGAGAAATAACCTATTGCTTCTTGTCGTTTTTTGGTGGTTTATCGAGCCGCAAATGAACACTGCGCTATCGAAGCGACAACCCTTAACACGCGTAACAAAAGGCCACTCACAATCTTCATAGTAACATGACATAGGAATTTCAACTGGAAATTAAAGTGTTCCTTTTTTTGCTTAATGCAAATATTGCAAAAACTTTATAAATGAATGACGCTTTTACATCTGTTGCTAGTCATCATAAATAAGTCGTCATTGTACCTATTCTCAATTATAAATGTGTCAGTTATTACCCCTCGATATGTTGCCTGCGATCTAAATAAATAGTAAGCCCCGTACTGCGCAAGCAATCCAATGGCTTCGTAAAAACAAACACGAAAAAGAAGAATTATTTTCAAATAGGTAGTTATGTATAGGTGTGCTTACAAGATGCTGTACGTTACACGCGTTTTGGTACGGTTGGATACCGAATCAGGCAATTGTTCCTTGTGTTGGGACTCAGTGAGAATGATGATAAATATGACGCAAAAAGCACCATCGATCGATCTAGCTTATCGAATATCTGCATCGTATTGGCTCCAAAATGGTAAAAAAAAATCAAATCTTCTTTCATACATTGCTTTTTACATTTCTGCTGCAACAATAACTGGTGACAGTATAAATCCGTCTGTGTGCGTGTATGTATTTTAGTATCAGACTGCTTCGGCCGATGATGTTGAAGCTCTTGGTCTTGTTAATGGTGACAGATGCGTAAAAAATTGGTAATAAGAGCTGATTATTGCACAAAGGCATTGAATGATGCTACCGTTGTTGCCATTATTGTTACGCTTGCTGTCGTCATAACGTACACGTTACAAAACTAGCAAAGAAAAATGAAAATATTGAGCAAGTAAATTAAACATCCATAAAGATACTAATCAATCGCAAGGCATCATGGGAATGTCACCTGTCGAAAGCGATGTGCGCATGCATGAAACATGCATGTGAAGTTTTTACGACGAACTTGCAAATAAAGTTTAGTTTTTTGAGGGAAGTTAAGGGCCAATGCATCGTTAAGACCGGGTTACGCCAAGACGCTCGTCGGCTTGCTAATAGAACTGACAAAACTAGGTGTCCCATAGGAATCGGTCGAGTTATGATACAATGTGTCAAAATGGCAGCTGGTTAACAGTGCGCAGACTATCAATTAGGAAAAGGATAAGTAAAGGGGGTAAGAGCTAAACGTAAAAGAAATCATAGTGAACAAATCAAATCCTGATAGATTATTAGAGGACTATACGATGAAAATCTGCAGAAAGCCCATTTGAATGGTCTGTCTATCGATAAATTTTTGTACCGTAATAAATCATTGGAAAGCCTTGATAATCTGACAAACGTAGCAAATGTATACGTCATAATAGAGCTATAATAGATCAAACGGTTGGTATACTAAAAACGATTCATAATAGAAACCAATTAAAGATAATTTATTAAGTACTTTTTCATGTCGACCGCACAGCATTAAACCGTAATATTTTCCATTAAAATACTGACAAACATATTCAACATGACGATAAACGATGTGATACGTAAAAATGATAGATCGTATCTGGCGGGCGTGATAGTTTGTTGTAGTCTAATTTCAGCGAACATGACGTTCCCACTTTTGTCAGTGTCTCGTACTATGCACAGCCGGCGCTTCCTTTCGCACGAATGAACAACCAGCTGGTAAAGCTTCGTTTCCGTTCGTGAATTGTGGAAATGGGAAGAGGGGGGCAGAAAGTACTGATCAGCAGATCAAAACAAAACGTTCCATACTTCCCGGCATCCAATTGCCAACGTTACTAAGAGCCTCCCGCTGTCGTCGCATAAAATCAGTAATAAATTCAAAAAGGTGTGCTGCGAAGCGGGAAGATCATACAGTGTTTCTATGATCTCTAGAAAGGTAGGTTTGCCTCGTGTCATGTCGCTCAGGGCAAATTTGACTCATTGTGTGAAAATAAAAGAAACTGAACTTAAGGGCAGTAGTATACATGCTAAAGAGGCTCGCTTGAGTGGTCGAACGGAGCGGGTCCGTCTTCATTCATTCACTGAACTGCCGAGATCTGAGAAAAGGCCTGCCCCTCATCTTTTCGGATGTGTTGGAAAAATGTGTCGCGCCGAAAATTAGACGTCCACTCGCTAAAATGTCGTCCATGATTTCTGGCAAAAACACTAGTATGATACATTTCGCCATGTAGACGTTGTACGACGATATTTGTGCTTGTACTCAAATACGCATAGTTGTATAAGTAGACCGAAGTGAACAAAATATAATGTACCGTTCTGGATTTGTAATGATCTGGATTTACACCTTCTATACATAGCAAGGAACTTTGATGTTCTCGTGTATTAGCTTATTATTACTTGGCTTACTGTTACTATTGTAACTAATGCATGATGTACCAGATACGAGTCATCGGTATTGGGGAACCCTGTTCCCCTGGAACCCCCCATTGATTAGAGAGGACGACAGACTGAGAATGAACTAATTACTATCCTATCAGTCAAGATACAGTAAAATATTGATAACAACTCCACGTGATCATTCGCTTAGAATTTCTTCGTAGAATTCAAAAAATTGGATGCTGTACACATTTGTAGAATTGGAACTCCCAGGCACAAATAAGAATTGTGTATATAAATTTTGCTTTAGTAAGTATTCCAGTGCTGTTAGGATACATAACCGTTAACTGATGGTAAACGTTGTTCTCCTGCAGCTGCCTTATATACTATTTAGGTTTATTTATTGAGCAACAACTATAAAGGCGTAACCTATAAAAGGCCCTACAATGGGTCCTATAAGAGGCGTACAGACTCTTTAGGCAGCCTGGCTGGTGTGGCCTAACAGGTTAAACGACGAGCTATAATTAGCCTTACTAGAAAAAAAAAGGCTCATCGACGAAATTTCGGAGCTATTGAAGTCTAGGGGAGGCTTGAACATCAGAGAGAATAATTTGTATTAGAAAGGGGATACGATTAAGGCTTACTCTATCACGAAGCTAAAAAAAACTAATTCTCATCTCATGATCATTGAATGATTGATTTTATAAATTAAAAAAAAATTACATAACTACGGATAATTTATTTGATTTATTAAAAAGGCTGCTGCGAAATATTACGAGTGTGTCATAAGGGATTTTTTAGATCTAAAAGATGCAAGAACGGTTCGTGTTTTAATCGCAGGCCTCCCTTATGCCTGTCCTACTAGGCCAACGCTGTAATTACGTCCTGTGCTCACTATATAATGTAAGACACTACCACCTATCTTTGCAATGGCACTGTCACAAACTGATTAAAGATGGCACCTGAACAGCGAACGGATCATAGGCGTGATCGAACTCGTCATAGTTCATTGCTGAATCCTTCTTTCCTTATGATTTTGTTACAATCGCAAGAAAATGGTTAAGGAGTCTATTTGATAATCCTTCAGATGTTTTTGGTTAGACCTATCACCTAGGTCTACTAATTCTCGGAAGCGATATATATCATGGTCATGCCATTTCAACATTATCATTCGTTTCGTTCGTGTAGTTCTAGGCCATTTCGACCAAATTAATGTTGGGCACACTGATTAGATGTTATATAAGAACCTCAACTGAAATAGTTTCATCATTGCCTTCTGTTTGGTCCACGGTCTACCCAGCAGTTAGCAGTTGGGGTTCTACCGAACGAAGCGCTACATCGAATTGGCTTACAGCATCTTCAAACAATGGTTTTTTGTTTGTAACAGATCTGACATCACAGATGAGTGATCGTTTATTACCGCCCGAACTAAGCCATCGTCATTCCAAGCTTCCGGCATTTCCAGAGTGGCTCAGTTACACTATCAATTATTATGAAATGGAACGGCATAAGGTGACACATTGCCATGCCTAGCTATTTTCGGTTGATATGCCGTACCGCAAGACGAGTTACGGTTAATTACTGCTCGTTAAGTTGCAGTTCGTTGAGAAAATACTCGCTTCAGGGAACGAATTCTCAAACCACCAATCAAAACGTCAAACCATGAACACATATCTAGCCACCTACTGCACCGTAAGTTCTAACGATAAGGTGTATGTTTGAACAGGCCATTTTGCCTATATTATATGTTAATAAACGTGGTACTTTTGATTCTACTATACGGAAATAGCCTGGATTGGACCACTTCAACATCGTTTGTACCGATTGGAACAATATCCGTTTATTAAAAAAGAAATATCTACTGCTTAGACAACTCGCATCTTCGCCGTACCTTGTCTGATGTCATCGACAAAGAAGAAACAGCTCCTGATCATATTTTCTCTTTGTCTATGCTCCTAGTCAAGTTAAGCAGAAGGCAGGGTAACTGGCCAAGACCGACAAAGCGTGGTTCATATAAAAATGGCGTTCCAGTAGCGCCAACGTTTCGTCTGTAATTCACGCTCTGAATGCACATGTGGACGGATGACTCGAAGATCGTTCACGTTTTTATATGGTAACCGGACCTGAGTTGGCCTGAACAGCCAACATCGAATAGGTGTCGGCCAGAGAAAAATCTGCTAGCGATAGCAGAAGCTATTGGGAATATTTACTAAATAAAAGAAAGATCTTTGATAAACTTCAGTCGATTTGCTCCTCTGACGATCAATGCAGAGTACACTTTGCATTGTTTTATTACGATGAAGCTTCATTGCGTTAGCGTACTAATCTTAAAGATCGTGTGCGTTTACAACTTTTTACTAGCATCGTCTGGATCAGGCAGCAGCCGCTACAATGCCGGGCCTCGTCGTCGCTCAGCGTCGGTGGAATCTTTCGTCAGATGACCTACCTATACCAGCGCTATTGGAGTCAGCGATACGAGGAACTTGGTAAGGCAGAACTGCTTCTTAAAAGACCATGGGCAAATACAATTTGAATAACAACCAGTAGAAAACTTCAACCGACACGGCCTGGCGCTCGCTCACTATACGAAAATTTCATAATACTTACACAATACCAAATATTTAATTTCATATGCTACATTATCTAGCGTTTGCTCTTGGTTTTATTCAAGTCTATGGAATTTCTAGACTAGCGAAAAAAATCTTCGAATACCGGCGCCTTTTCTAAAAAACAATGCACTTATAATCAGTCAGGATAATGATGATTAGAAATAATCATTCAGCAGACCTGACCACAAGTTAAGTTTATTGGATTTCACTTGTCACTATTTTTCTTTTATGTCCGTGTCTCGTTTTCACTTACTAGATTCTCCGTTAAAAACTAGCCAATGTAAAGCCTTCCGGTCAGGGTGCCACAGAGCTGGCCAGTGCGATCTCCTGTGGCGTACTAAGTTGTCCTCTGCCTATGTCACATGGCAACGATTTACCTTAGAGGGATGACTATATGCGTGAATGTATTGCAGTCATCATCATCATCATCATGATTACTACATATCATTAAAAAAGATGTAGTTGTGATGACAGTTGTGACTGATTTGATGCCAACTTAGATTAACTGGTCTTTGAACGCGCGTGCACGTATAGTGCTTGTAGAGCGCATTCTACTGTGCAGGACATTGATTCCATGTCATTTGGTATCGTCACTGTTGAAGATGTTTAGAATGTTGTATTTTTTTTGTTCTTTGCCAGGGGGCCAGTGTTTTTTCTTATTCAGTCGATATAGACGGTAGCGCAAACATTTCAAGTGTCGAATAGTAAAAGACCGCCCACTCACACTACGCCGATTTAGCAGGTTAACCATGTTTTACGATCGTAAATGATTCAATAACTGATCACCTCAAATGGCCTACATACACGGCCACCTGTCGCAATAGGTCGCTCTGTATATTTCATATTTTGACGTTTGTCAGGCCAGTATCGCTTTATTGACTGAAATATGCACTGAAGCTTCACTAGTAGCTAGGCCTACTTGTGATAAATTCTGCAGGGTCCGTGTGTAACAAAGGCCTGTTCTAAAAAGTGACGCTCCGTAATTCCACTTCAGTGTGTTGAGTGAAAAATCCACGAGTAATTACATATAATGTCAATCCAACGCAAGCTTTGATTTCAGATATGTGTTTGGTTTCAGTTGGTATTGGGCTGTTATTGCGAAATTTCGCTTCCTTCCGCAGAGTAACTGTATGCACGTCTATTTCCAGAATTCTTTGTTCGATTTATAGCCGCATTCGACTATACGATCAGCGTATGGTAATAGAAATCCATAACAACGACAAAAGCTGCTACGATCAACGCCAGCAACGGCTCCAAACGGCATCGGCAAAAACGAAACATCTGTACGACTTAACATGTATACGCGCCTACACTCGTTCTGTCTGTTCATGTTTGTGACCCGTCTCACGTCTGCTCGTGCTCTTACCGTTCAATCGTTATTGTGGCTAATTTCGAAAATGCGTGGTCCAGCTTCGTACCGTCGCGGTCGATCTGCCATCATGCCTGTCTCTAGCTGCGAAATATTCGAGGTAGTGTGATCAATCGCTTCGATAACCGCCGTGGCTCACGTGAAAGAGCTGCTGACAATTGATTAAGGCTCTTAGCCTTCACGCTGATGCTGCGCAATGAGTGGTACACAATTAGAAGAATATATGAAGGTGGATGACTGAGAGCTTCGTTCGGATATCGGCTGCTGTCGAACGAACTGTCGCGACTAAGATAACTTCAGTCCCAATAGCGACGAAGTACTCATAGCTACTCCCCTTTGACGATGATGATTGATACCCATAATAACCAATCAAATCAACAGCTTATAGAATAGCTCGGCGGTCCAACGCATGTGTTAAAGGTAACACATGGTAAAACACAAGGTAAAAAGTGATCATTTTTTGTTGGCTACTCAGACCAAAGTCCTGATATGTTTGCGCTTTAGATTGGCTATATACTGAACACAATCTGTATTATGTTAGATCAACGTTATTGGCTTGAATTACTAGAGCTCATGGTTGTGGGGAAAAAACCTGTGAATAGAGAAAAGTTAAAAACGCGCTATATCATTGGTTGATCCCAAAGCTTTTCTGTAATTGTACATTTTGACCGAGCTATTTCCAATAGAAACTGCATGTAGCACTCGATGTAGCAAAGAAACAGTAACAATGTTTGAACACATTTTATTAGCATAATCTTTGCAACATACAATATTTACAGGTTGATCGCTCTTGCAATATCATATTGGAATCTTCCCCAATTCGATGAACAATGTTCGTCTTTGGCCCGGCTTCTATTGACATATTTAGTGGGTCTACAACTATTGCAGGTACTTGTCCTCAAATGCTGTAACGCTTTTTAAATGTTTATCTAGGATACTGCATGTTTGAAGTACGTAGAACTCGCTCAAAATATATCACGGGTATGTTTTTTTCGAAGCACTGTGCATCCTTGTAGTTTCTCTATGGGTGGCGGCATATTCGAGCAAAGTTTCAACTTATTCCACGTAGATATGGCCTTAAATAAAGTTGAAGTGATGGTGTAGTGGTACATTCTGCTTTGAAAACGTGTTAAATGCTCTAGTGTCGAAATTAGAAACTGACACATTCTGCTTCGCGCTGAAAGTTAACCATTTGAAGTAGGGCTTGAAGGCAGTGTCGGACGTAAAATTCGTATTAATTATTTAGACGAAGTCGATATAGAATATCTAAAAAACAGATAAGTGTAACATGGATACTACTTGTTGTCAGAAAAAGTATCTAGAGATGTATAAAACCGATTGCTCATAATACAATTATAAATCTGATTTCAGATAATGATATTATCAATAAATACAACATTGATTCACCTCGCACTTCAGGGCACTGTCCTGTGTGATACGCCTCGAGCAGGCGTCGTACCACTCATCTATTTCAGAACCATTCTGTTTGTGCCAGAAATTGGTAGGATTCGTTTTCAGAAGAACTCGTCAGAGAAGTTAAAGAACAGATTTGTCAAGTCTTTTTTTTTGTAATAAATTACACTCTTATATGGTACAGAGCAGGCGCAAAGCTTCCAATCACATGAGATAGGTCAGCTCAGTGTACTCAGGCGTCATTGTCGTATGTATCTATGTATTTCATAAGTTAAATGAATAGTCCTGATGAGTAATAACTTATCCTATAGCAGCAGAAAATGTTACCATAAGCGATTGTTAACACCAAACGTTACTACGTAATTGAATGTCAAAACACAGAGCTGTGATCGATATAGTTATCGTTATAGCTATCGTGAACTTAACTGAGGACGAATCTTTGGTCTACGATCTTTGCAATCACAAACATTCGAGAATCGTGCAGGCTGGCACATACTCGGCGCCGTATGGTTGTGTCTGATCCGCGACCCTTCTCTAGTTCCACTGTCGTGCAATCTTGGCACTACCCAAAACGCGGTACAAGCGATGATCAATCTGGGCGTGGCAACGACAGTTGTACTACTCATCGGAGTTCTGATCGTGTTTGATCCTGCAGGCTCGATAAAGCATCTTCCTTCGAAGAACAGCCCAGTCGATGAGGAATCGGGTCGGCTATTTGTCAACCCGACGATGAAAGGCGAACGAACGCTTTACCGCTGCTGGCGAACGAGGTTTGTTCCCGTTTTCCACAGTATTTACGCCGTCTCATAATAGTCGTAACGTCTTCGATCCGATCAGGACATTGCTCTAGTGGAGCTTACATAGGGCTATCTGTAAGCAAAAGAAGATGCTTTTTTTTTTCTTTTCAGGATCCGTTTGTTGTTTTGCTGCGTTTGGTTTGACACGGGATCTCGGGAAGCGTACCGTGATGTTGCAGAGTTGTTTAGCGGCTGGTTCCATGACATTGACGTAGTACCGTCAGATCTCCTATGCGCTCTCATCCTTCTACGTAGAAAACAGAGCCAGCTGCGGAAGCTTACAGGTATACTCTGCGTGAGTTGTTAGGTGCAGGAACCATAAGCCGATCGAACGTTATATCACCGACCTTAGACTCACTATGATCAAATAGTTAGCATAAAATATCTAAGAATTATATTAGGAAGAATCATATATGTCTAAATCCTGCTCGTCCTCAAGGCGCCTAGACCAGTTACAATATAATAACACTATTCCTTGCTAAACCGTAGCACAATGCGGCTCGAACAATTATAACTTTGACTCTCTCAACCAGAAACAGCTAGTGTAACCCAAGTCAATGACACACATCGCACAGCGGAACAAAAAAACACACATATTCGGTTATAGGAATATATATGACAATATAACCCTAAATGGGGAAAAATCGCGATAATCTAAGAAGTTCAGCGAGCCAAATCTCTAAAATTCTTACGGACGTAGGACACTTAGTATTTAGATCAATCCACGATGGCCTTTTTTTGCAAAGATGTTCATAACTGTTTGAAACCTGGGACGAAACCTACTGAAGCCATACAATTAGTATGCTTAATTAGGTGAAATGGTCGATTTGTAGAAACCTGAACTGACATTATAAATATATGAGTGTGCTTTATAATATTTTCATACGTATTTGTTTAAATATACGTTACAGGCAATACGATCGTGGGCCCTACGAAATTTCCATTGTCCCCGTTCCTCGAGACGCCTTTTCCAATAGTGACTCTCCAGCCACAAATGGTACCCGCTGCATCGCCGTGGATGACGCCGAGGAACGCACTTCACTTCATGAGGTACGTGATTCTTTGTGGAGGCATTAACCACGCTTATTACCCGCACCAGAGACGAACTGAGATAGCTTTAATCTAGCTGCTGCTGGTGTATTGATGGGTTGCTCAATTTTGCCAATGGGGTCAATCAACCTTCATAATCAAGCCAAAAAGAACTTTTCATGTGGGCATACGGCAATATTAACTGTTTAGCAGTTTAACGCGTAGTAATAGAATGTAATTCACACAAAGAGTTGGAACATTTGGTTCGCTTTGTCCAAGATCAATCAGGCCAATCGTAGCCTTAATACTAGTGGTGTATCTGCCATCATCTTATTAGAAAAAACTTATTGTAAGTTGATCTTAAATTCAAGTTGGTATTTGTAATTGTGAATTCGACGTAATACATACCTGTTTGTGTTTTTAAAACGCATACTTGTGCTGCAGTTTCTCACTGGCTGATAACAAAAGAACAAAAACAGTTGCTCAATAACTTCATATTGCCTTGGGTCAAAGTAAAACTTCGATGAATCATAAAAAGCTTCATTAATGTGGTTTATAATTTGCATGAAACAAGTGCCGCCTTGAGACGAGATGAGATTACCAGACATACCAAGCGAATCCCACAATTATATGTTAACAACTAAAAAACACTTTCGTTTATAAGAGGTGTTATTTATAGTACGTTGGCTTTCAGCACTCGTCATCTTAAGCGCTATCCGACGTCAACGGGTTATTACATACACGTGGCCTCTGACTAAGCTTCAGGGCGCTGATGGCCACTCTGACTCGGCAGACTCAGTAATTATATATCTCAGACTCAGTAATTACATTCTGTGAACGTCAGATGCTGCCAAAATTTTCGTCCTGTCGACTTTTGTTGTGCGCTGTATGCGATTGTATTCCTTTAAGCGCAGACATCGTTGCACTGCGTCACGTTATTACGAGCTACGCAAGGACAATGGTATCACCGTTGGTGACTAGTAAGGATTTCTCAAACTCATCGTGATTCTTAAGCTTACACCATGGCATCATGGTTGCCTCCGTTGATCTAGCTTGTGGCCTTTCGACTCCTTGGAAAATCTCAACACCTCAACATTGGATGCTCCTTGTCGTTAGAAGGGAATTTTACTATCAATAGAAGTTCGATAATATGAAGGGCTTACAGGCACGCATTAAAACGTACAAACACTGCTTAATATCATCGAAGTGCCCAAAAGCAGCGTGACAAAGCGTTCCATATTAGATAATTTACTAGTATCGCTAACTAGTGGATAGTCGCCTAAAACGGATAGGATCTAGTGTAGTTAGCTAGATGAGAGGGTTATGCACGTAAATTTTCAGGTATGACCATAAATCAAATGAAGGAATTCTATCTGTGGCAACAAAACAAACTACCAGTAAGTTAATAAGATCTTGCCACATAGAAGCCATTAGATTTTTTTGGGCTGTATGTGCCATTATACACAACACAAACCGTTATTAGTATTTGCTAACAATGACTGCCTCTTCGTCACAGCCGGCGAAAGTCGAGCAGTTCTATAAACTCACACGTTTATAGAACCGCTCGAGCGTTTATTTCACTCGTTAGTTTGATAATCCGGTTTCTGTATCTGCTTATCTTTGTCCAGTTGTGTCAGGCTCTTACCATTTGATGGATAACAGATTCAGGTGGACATACCAATCGTGGCTAAAGTAGATAGTCGACGCTTAGAGCTATCATCCATATAATGATAGTTATCACTTGATTTTTATGTCAATCATTTGGGGGTAACATGCTCAGCGTACCGTGTCGTCTTAGATGGAAATTGGCATTTCGTTATAATATATATAAGCGTATATAAGCTAAATAATGACAGCTTCTGCAATTGCTTCCAAAAACATTGAGGACCGACATTGATACCATCAATAAGTGCAAATTACTCAAACCCACAGTAGAATTCAGTCAGGAATTCAAAGTTACGGCCAAAATGGTCTTTTGGAAGTGACTGGACTAACAGGATTGCGGACGGTCAGACTTTACACTCACAGACTACCTTACCATTTCGAAACGTGCCGATTGTAACACAATGGACATACTCTAGTTAATAAATCATACGGTTTAACAAAGATCTCATTTCTATAGGATAGAGAAACATAACTCTCCGCATCTTTTCAACTTCCCCCTATTTTTTTACCGGGTATTGTTAAAGAAGATTTGACGGTACCGAAATCAAATTGTCAACTCAGTCGTGACGCCTGCTACCTGTGTTTGTAGTACAAAAGCTGGTGCTGTTTTTGTAGCCAAATAAATGCCACAGTGAGCTCTTGGTAGCCCGGCTAAATCGATTATGCTACAATGCGATTTCTATGCAGGACTTCTATATCAATTGCGAGACGCGATGACCCGCAGTGATTCTAACGATGGGTATTAACAGAGGATCAATATACAAGCAAAATGAAAACAATATGTGGGTAGCAGAATCAATGTCTCAGCCTGGAAATAAATTGAAACCAACCAATCAAATGACTTTACTACAGGTTAAGTTATCCCTTTCAGTTTGTAGTGGAGCTTTTGATGTGTCTATTAAGATTCTTCAAATATTAAAAAAAAAATGGGCAAACTAATATGGCTTAGATAAACTACCCATGCATCGCCAGTTGGAAGGAAATTGAAGCAAGTTTAATTTCGCTTTACCTTCAGCCGAACCCCCCGTTCTATCTGTTTTTACTGAAGTGAATTAGATTTGAATAATGGAAAGTTTGGTGGATCTGTGTGTCCATGTGTTACCTGAATGGCACATGTGTATGAAACAAACGCCGATTATTTTTCTGTAGTTGCTCTATCTGTAAAACTTATAAAATTAGTATGGTAGGCTTGCTCTCGAATTTTTCGGATAGCAGGATTCATCGTAGTCGGCCAAATTTTAAGTAAAGTGTTACAAAATGTAAATTTTCCATTCTTCAGTAGGTGGACTACCATGAAGTAAGTGCTTTCGTTTCAAACATCCGTGCAGATTTTTCAAGTGGCAAATAAAGCATCTTGTTCGTCATTTTATAACGCTTTTAATTACATGCAGAAAGAACTCTTTATACATATAGAAGTATATATTACAGGTTCGCGTGGGGATCGTATGGGTGGCCAACATTTATGCTCACGCATGCGTGTACGGGTCTTTGCACGCTCTGGTCCGGCCTGCGATGTTGTTCCTGCATAAGGCCTTTCTGTAGGTCGTCAACCTCATCCGAGTCGGCCTTCAATCCAGCGCTAATGCTACGTGGCGACAATTGCTGTGAATGTCATACTGCAACAGTTCGGACTTTAGCCAGAATACCCGACAAGGATCTACTTATCGTCTCGTTCAAAAACTCCCTATACAAGGTTAGCGCTATGTTGCACATATTCTAGTGCATATTTTATATCTAACATCAATTTATAATGTACAGGAATTTATTGGCGAGCATCGCCTCGGGCTCATCAATACGGGGTTAAATGTTTCGCGCTGATACTGGAGCGCGGAGTCTGGAACTAGGTAACATCAGACGAGTTTCGTTTGTTTACGATAGGAGAAGTATTGTGCTATCTCTATAAGAAACGGTGGATACTTTTTATCGTGCTATAGACTAACAGATTGTGCGTAGGTTTAGCATGCATGTTTATTAACAAACATACGCATAGTTCACACTACACTCTTTACTAGCAACAGTTGAATTTAGTCCCCGCCTACGCATGGCTAGTCCTATAGATTTGATGCTGAATCTTTTTGAAGGCACGACGGGTGATTGAGGCATTGAATCGAACGACGCGGTGGTAAGTCATAGTAGGTCTTTTAGGAGAAGCCGAGCAATTTGACAAAGTTTAGCCTGGGCAACGATTATATGATCCCCTCAAGGCGAGCCTCTCCAGCCAGGGAATTGTTGAATATCCAGAGCATTAACATGATTGGTGCTAAGGCACGAATTCGTAGTACGTAATCGCGTTTTTTAGAAAGTTATTGAACCGATTGCGTCGGAAGGAGCTAATAAACGTCGGGCAATCTTTGCGATTGAGCTATACAAAAACGGAATTCAAAAAGCGAGCTCTTTAGTGTCCAAAGTCGAACCGGGTTAAATAGTACAGATGGCTATTAAGAAACGTTTTTATGGTAATATTGGTGTCAAACCATTAAGTGGTGAACCGCCGCAGCAGATTCGGCTGTGTAAGTGCGTCCTACCCCCCTTTTCAGTTCATACCCCCAAGACGAAATATCTTTAAAATGTTTGCATCGGTATTGAATGCGCGCTGGCTGCTAAGCTTTAATAATTTTAAGATTAAAATAACAGTTCTAAAAACTAGTGGGTGCTAAAGAATACATGTCTTATAAATAACCGCGGCGCGAAATATAGCTTCATATCAACTATTACCAAACTCTTCACAGAGAGAAGAGCCCTGATGAGGCCAAAAGAGATCACTAGCGACCTGAAAGACTACGACAGCCGGCTTCATTTACAACGATTATAAGCTATTTCAACGAGCGCAGTAAAATGCTTCTTAAAGGATTCGAAAACGCATCTAAAATTAGCGGTTAAGTATAATTAACGATACTGATATGTGGGGTCAAAATGTAGGGCCTATTGCTCAAAAGGACATTGCTTATAAACGCCTCAGGTGCTGTTCTTATGTTACTGAAATCAGACAGGCACCCTATGCAGACATTAAAATCTAAATATTTTTTGCCACTCGGCTGTTTTACCCAGTTGAGCGCTTCGGATTAAGTCACTGTGGGTTGATTTTAACCAATAATCATTCATAATGGATGTATCGGCGCACAGAAAGGAAGAGATTTCAATTTCTCAGATTTGCCCAGACACATTTCTTGACTTTTGTTTATTTTATTTATTATAGGCTATTTGTTTACAGAACCTATAACTACGCAGACTTGTCCCGAAAATGATCTCGTCTCTTCAAAAAGTCTTCAAAAGTATAAGTTGATACTGAGTCTATTAAAGAATTGTGCTTACACATAACCGGCCACATTTTTTAGGCTACAGCGACGTTTCATATTCCGTAACTGAATTTTGCAAATTTTAATTCCTGTACAATCCTGTTCAGCAGGCAAATGGCGTGTTCCACGAAACGAAATATGGCTTTAATGTTTTCTGCCACCAAAACACCTGACGATCGCAGAGACCCACCTTGTCCACTCAGAACTGGTATAGTAAAGATAAGTGGAACTATCCGGCTTCCTTGCCAAGGTCAATTCGTCCTTCGGATGTGACCAAATTATCCTGTCAGGGTGGAAAGGAAATTTACCATGGCTACTTGTGTAAAGTGTAGAATCAGGCCTATGATTCCGTAGTCAACTACGTTAGTTTGATATCGTATCCTAATTGATTCGATCCTTTGTTTCAAATTAAATTTGATACGCAATAATAGTAACTTTAAAACGGTAGTAATTTTGATCCTGTCACCAGAAAAACAAGGGTCAGTCGCAACGAAAATACGTTGGTTATCCACCCTGTGATAGAGGTCAGTTACGGTTTATAAATTCAACGGTTCGCATCGAAGTCCAATAAGATTATCATTCAATAATAATCGGGATAATCGCAGCGAAAACTTCGACCGTCCCGCGGATCTATCTAAGATTAGAGCGCACGACTGGCTTACAGACAGAATCACTTGCTGTCGTCTATGGCCATACGAGCGGCCGAAGTTTTAGTCCTCGTAGAGCGTTCCGCTATTAAATCGCGATTAAGTCTGATCGCCTTGGTTTGCTTGGGCAGAATCGATTTTGACTGCTATAAAATGTTGTGGACCGTTTCTGTTTTTCAGCCTTGGTACGGATCACAATTTGTCAATCATACGGCATGATTTTTTAACTGTCTATTAGTTTACCCTGTTGCCATAGCGGGCTTCTGAGCGGAAAAGATAAAGAAACATTTATAGAAAAAATCAGTTTGATCAAGATTTTCACCTTTGCTATATGTAATATGTGATTCAAAACAATGGCCTATATCACATGTTTAAAAGGAAATCTCTCATTATTGCGATTCTTCTCAAAGGTCTTGAGGTACGGGATGCTATGATGAGTGCTAAAAAGGTTGTGCAAGAACCCTATCGAAAAATTTTGTCAACTGGGCTTAAAAAAGCTTTCCTAACTCGCGATTATAGGAAGAGCTTCGCAAGAAATGGCTTGCAAAGTACCAAATGACAGTTACCTGATGAGGAGCAGACGCGTAAAAGTAGGGACTGTGTTTGACTCCGATCAGACACACATTAACAGCCTGCTGTGGCCCTTTTCATACGCAACCAAAGATATCTACATGCAGATGGTCAATTTAGATTCGTTCAGTGGATGGCAATTTTCCGCCAAGATGACACTGCTCGTAGACAAGATGGAAGCTTTATGTATCCTCACTGTTCCTGTAATGATATATTTGATGATACTAAAAACGGCTGTTGCTATTATTCCAAGAATTTTATTAACACGTTATATTAATGAAGTATAATGATTTAACATGTAGTATGGCCTACCCCCCGGGTCGATTGTTAGTTCTTTCAGAGCTTTTGCGTTAATGGTATGAACCGATTTTTCTTCATTTTTTTGTTTTAATTCTCGTTAGTTTTCACTTACGGTGGCGGAAGGTAAGTGAAGAAACCTTAACGCAAGGGATTGTACTAATATATTTAAAAAAAGGGCTAAAATTAGAAATGTTTATTATTAAAGTGGTTTTCTTTGTTGTTGTTAGATATTTTCGAGCATTTTTTCACTAAAGTTCTATGATGATCATTAATTAGCTAACGCTGCATTGAGACCTGATCGTGACGACTCATTATTATCGTGGTATATACAAATAAAATCGAAACGTACATAAGGCAGGTTCTTTCTATGGGTCTAACGACAGCTTACAATAATAGGACTTCACGACTTTTGCGTACCGATGACTTCACTTCGTGATGACTTATCAGAAAACAATCGGCCTAAATTATTAGTCAGCTAACGTGAGTTACGATCAAAAAATTCTTAAGGAGGCACTGTGAATGAATGTTGAAATTAGCGCCGTTTAGCTTGAAGCGGCTTATAAGCAGAACAACTTAAGCAATAGCTCTAAAGTGCGGCAAAAAGCGGGTACTACCTATGAAAGCATGCGGATGTCACGTCTAATGGATAAGTGTTGCCTACATATAGTAGGGATAGCTTAGAAAGGACAAAAACAATCTGCCATTGAGACTGAGTAAACATTTTAGAAGGTTTCGGTTACTGTACGAAAATAAGCCCCCTTATTGTGCGTAAGTCATGATCGAGCAGGTCCATCACTGCATCTCTAAATGCAACAGGCCAAGAGGTCAGAAGGAATGAACCAAGGGGTCACTTCCAATTATAAAGCAAACATAATTTTTGATATAAAGAACAGAAATTAGTTTTGCGGAGAAGCTTTAATTGTACTCAGCTCTTTTGGTATGATTGAAATCAGCAGTCTAGCAACTCTAGACGTTTTGTCCAAGTCGAGCGGTCACCCTTCGAGCATTGATGATACATCTTATAATCTAGAGGACTAATCCACACGTTTAACGTTTCCATAAATATCGATCAGATCCCGTTCTTCGTGTGCTATGACCATGAAAAGCAGTCGGTTGTCGTCGTTATTCGCGGTACTCTGAGTGTCAACGATGTGCTTACTGACTTCACCGGTGACTCGACTCAGATTGATGCTCTGGGGGTCCCTCGCGGTTCGTTGTGCCACAAAGGCTTCCTTAAGTGTGCTAGATACATACTAAACAAGTAGGTCTGCATGGATTTTGTTATTTTATGCTTGAATATAATGCCAAATATTCTGAAAGAAAGCTAATAATTACGTTAATTACAAGTACGTAACATATTACTAACTTGAGTTTTTACGTAATAGACAGCCATCCAAAAGTCGCATTTCGTTCTAAACTGGTTTTTGCTACCTTCAGATTATCCGAAAACCAGGTCTTGGAGGCGGCTTTTAAAATGCATCCCTCATACCGTCTTGTGCTCACAGGTAAACGACGGGAGTTCTTCATTTTTTCTGAATTCGGATTATTGTTTATTTAGATTTAGCTACTACGTCAAGTAAGCCAGCGATAACTTACTGAACTTAAAGGCGTATAGTGGTTTATATATATAGGCGTATAGAGCAGATACACTTTGCCTTGTGCTTTAATTTTCGGCCTCAACTTCTAAGACGATAAAAATAATATTGCGTAAGTTTTTCGAAATCTTCAAAATTTGATACAAATTTTGGCTTAACCGTTGATTCTCCACATACATTAAACAAACCATTCATAATGTTTGCTTTACAGGCCATTCCTTGGGAGGCGGAGTGTCAGTCACACTTGGGCTTCTCTTACGTGGCAGATACCCAAGCGTGAGATGCTTCGTGTATTCCCCTCCAGGTTCGTTTTCCATTAGTTCATTTCTCTTAACGGAGTTACCGATGGAATAAATTAGTCCAATTAGGGACAAAAAACCGTGACGAAGCCTCAACAAATATAAATGAATATGACAACGGAATCAGATTGCAGACAGAAGCGCGTAGTTTTTTTCTATAAGCGCTATATAATACGTGCATTAGTGCTCCGCACAGGTTGTCCTTAGTGCGTCTGAAATGGCTTTTGTGCGTAAAAGAGAGGGAACCACAATCTCCGTATACCAGATACGACTGAAAACACCAATAGGCTTTACAGTTGAAAGAATTTTAAGGGCTATACGGGGCAAAAAACATCGATCGGCGAGAACACATCGAGGAAATACATTAGGAAAATTCTCTATGACGAAAACGATGAATACAATCTGAGAACAATAATAAAAGGAGAAACTGTGGTAGGCAAATATTTGACCTATATGCATCTCTCTCCCCCTTGCTTTATATATATGCAGAGAGACGCAGTCAAATGTTTGTATTATTTAAAAATTTAATTGCACACAGTTTTTCTGTCCTGCCTTACTGGTATTGTCAGCATTAATGTATTCCATACTTCAGTATAAGTTAACTGGGTTTAGAAGTTTCCAAAGGACCATCCAGAATTGACTTGACCCTATAAAGAAAATATTAGTCACTTTTTATGCCCAGTCAGTTGGTCGAGAATGAGACTGTTAGAATGCATGAGTTATCTCATAAAAAGCTATCTGTTTATGTTTACTGGGGTAAAGTGACGGGAACCCCGCGATTTGGAATTTCAGTGTCTCAGGTTGTAATCACACGGAGCATACGTGAATCAATGCAGTTTTGTTACAATCAAATAAAATTGCCACTGCTGATGTAATCGTCATTATCACTTTGCTTTTGGCAACCATGTCACAGATATCATCTACAGAGGATTTGGCAATTCGACAAAGTTACTGGTTTGCCTCAGCGATATCGACAAGGACCCATCAAACCGTTCAATAGCATTAAGAACAGCGTCACATATGTGTCACTAATCTGCTCATTAAATCTCCACAAGTATATCAATGACAGCGAGCAGACGATTGTGTTTGTTCATCATTGCAAAACCTAACGTTTGTCTGTTTCGTTAATTGTTGCCCATTACAGGTGGCACGTTTAGTCGCGAGCTATGCCGCCTCACGGAGACGTTCGCTCTAAGTGTTGTTGTGGGCGATGATGTCGTTCCTCGATTAGGTATCTCACAGTTGGATGAACTTAAGCGACAGATGCTCACGTGCCTCGTAGAAAACACACGACCCAAACATGAAATTCTCAGCCAGGTAGATTCGTTCTGTATAACGATCCATGAAAAGAATGTAGAAGCCCCCCTAGAAGGCCGATCTTTACAGGTTCTACAACCCTGTACATTTTAGTCCTACAAATGTCATGTCACAGGACTAAAATGCTCTCTATTTAGTTTTACGGCATCTTTAGCACGCATCCTGTTATAGAAATTGTTGCTGTGTTGAACTTTATAATCAGTTTATAATGGTGGCTAATTCATTATGTAACACATCTTTTTGCACAGGGTCTCTGTACCTTTTTCTGTAAATCACGTAACTGGAGAGATCGTCCGCGCATGACCGGGTCTCCGACGGCCAAATACAAAGATGTGAGACAGCAGAAAACAGATGAAATCCTCAATAAGCTCGACACACACGGGTTAGTGTCAGCTTCAGTGCCCAGCACGAACTTCATGAGTCACAGGCCGCCATTTAATCGGGATGAAGCTCTCGAAAACAAGGTAGGCAAAAATTGGTTGGACTTTTTACAACCTTCAATTGAATCACAATAAGGAATCAGCTATAGCGTGGATTGGAAAAGTGTAGTACATCGAAGCGAAGAGCGTTTGCGTTTGAGTCAAACGATAATTTTTGGGGGTGATAATAATAGAATTTACGCAATCCTCAGGGCACATGTCAGTTTTATAAATATTTAAAGAAATAATAATTAGTAGTTTCTTATATTTATTATACTGTAATGGTTTTAGTCGTTGTATTAGCAGTATTGTGTCGGCAATACTAACATCCGACGTGTAATTAGCTATGTCCTGGTTTTATTTTATTGTAATCAAGGGGCTAATAAAGCAGTTTTGTGTGGCCGAGTATAACCTGTGTGCCGGCGAAGATCGTTTACATGGCAACAGTTAGACTGCAATGTTCCGTCTTTAGTTAAGATATGACCCAAAGTGACTCGAAGCTTGGGATGAACATTATATGTCGAAACGTCGGATGGAAGTCGTTAGAACTGTATTATTTGAAGCTTTTCTCTTGGTATGAGTCTGACTCTTCGTAGTGTAACACTTTTCGCATGTTTTTATAGCAGTCTCCTGTATAATGTATATATATATATATATATATATATATATATAGATAAGAAAATTTGCTGCATCAATATGCTTGGATTCAACTCATAGCCTCGTATTCATCTTCTATCCGGAACGGCAAATTTTCTTTTATCTGCGGCTTTTTATCTGTGAAATCAGTTCTCGCAACAGTTATATCTAACTATCGTAGTAGCATTAGGACTACTGCGGTCGAGTAACAAAAAGTTTTTATCGCAGGAAAAACTGGAGTCGGCCGTACGCGCTGCTTTAGGCACTATGACGGAACACAAACTTTGGCCTCCTGGAAAGATCCTGTACCTTATCGACTCCCATGACGGGTACAAACAGTAGTGTATATATTATGCTTGTTTATAGATCGCATTCGAATGAACACCGTTATTTGAATAACATTGCAATATTTCTAATAACATTTTCTCTGATTCGTCTGCTTAATAGGTTCGAGCCATGGTGGGCTCCCGCTGAACATTTTAACCACGTAATTATTTCGCCTCACATGTTAACGGACCATCTTCCAGGTGTGTGCTATCGTGCTCTTAAGCACATCTGCGAGCGCACATCTGGCTTCGAGCAATTGTAATCGGATTTGCAATTAAAATTTTATAAATTGAACTTGTGGAAGCTTCTGCTCCATATTGAAGAAGGAATAAACTCTAAACGTAACGACCAACGCTTTCGAATGTATTCCAAATTACGAGTCTGTGAACAACTGTATAACAAACAATCACATGAAATTCTCCGCAAATATTTAAAATCAATTTGTAATTTTAGCTTATAACCGATAAATACAGACTCCTAGCGAAGATATCTGGTGAGCAGTAATAGTAGAAACAAGTTAACTTCAACTAGATACTGTTGTTGCCTTTGAAGCATAGACTTTTTAGTAGTGACATGTATAAAGCTGCTTATGGTTCCATACGATATCTGTTATTCATTATCAAATCATTAGGTACCGTTCTCGACTTTCGGAAAGTTTGAAGTTTTTAAAATCTCTGAAAGGCAGCAACGCTGATTGTTAGGTGGATATGCACTCGGCTGTTTATAAATTTCCAAAACATATTTTTGTAATGGGAAATAATTTCTATTTGTTTTTTTTTTTACAAAGACTTTTAGTATGCTTCATGTTAACATGGTGCCAGTCGTTTGAAATGTCAATTCGTGTTTACTTTAATTTTCAGAATCAGAAGAAGAAAGAAATCAGAGAAAGTTACTACCAAGTTATAGATATTGCAGATCATGTAATCTAAATATTCGATAGCTATCTTGCGGGTGGAACAAATAAAAACGTCAAATATGTTCAGTACTTGTGAAGCTCGACTGATCAGTGCCATCTGGATAGCCGATTAGCAACGTCCGCCTTCAGACGTTCCTTTGTCAAACTATTTACTATGTCATAGCGAGCGGTTGTAAGAAGCGCGATGTCCATTGATGCTCATATAAGCATAGAAACCGATGACATTTTCATTTATAATGTATATACCGCTTCCCTAAACGATTGCAAATGCAGACATCCGTTTGAGTAATATACGATGCACACCCACTCAATGGCAGTTATTCTCGCTTCGAGAGCGTACCAGAGCTCCTGTTATATTCCTTTTTTTTTTGCTGTTATAGATAATTAGCTAACGTGACATACGCATGGTGTTCCACTGATTTTAAGTAACATCCCTAGACAAACTTTCCGTTTTGTAGCAAAGAGCTTAGAACATATCTCGTAGATAAAAAAAAAAACGAAAAAGTAGAAGCATCTATAATGAAATACTGTGTGATTGCATATATGGGGATCGCGCGGCAAATTAATCCTAGACGTATTACGTTTCATTAAATATATACGATATTTAATGAAACGTAACACTAGGATGACTGTAATGATCAGTTTAAATATGTGGAAATGTTAATAGGACGCATTCAAACAAAACTAACCGATGAGAAACATTTTGTTCTAATCAATTTAAAGGCATCTTTAGTGCTTTTAAATCTGCCGATGAGTCTATGTGCCTGTACAGCCCTACTATTGCAGTATTCTATAGGTAGTGTTATACGATAATATATACCAGTATCGCACAAGGGTTATCCCATATTCAATCGGCAATCCCATAGAAACCCGTGAGACTATGCTTTTCAATATACCGAGCTGTAATAAACTAGGAATATACGTGTACCAATAAAATACACAACTGCTCGAGTTTTCCCTTTTCAACAAGCTGGGATCGGGATACATTTTCTATTCGAGCGTTTTCGAAAAATGTTCTGTGCGTAAAAATCATGTAAAATAAAATACGATCAGCTGCTCCGATCTATGCTTATTTGTGTGCTTATAACACCATTTTATTACTGTATATAAGTTGCTAATTTGTTTGACGTTGAATATAAATAAATTTAATGTTGTATCATAAAAAAATCAACTTAGTATGCTGTACTTAAAGTCTGAACTTATATATTATAGAAAAATTCGACTAAAGTTGAGCAGATACCATTCAGTATATGTATTCTTCTTGGGTTGTAAACACTATTGTTCACTATTGGGTTGTGCACTATTGTTCTAAATAGTTTTATTTAATTAACATTTACCCTTACTCTTAAGCAGGCTGTCATAGTCGTATCCGCATACTTCAGCAAACCGCGATTTAATGCCAATGATCTAATGCTGATGCAGTGAAAAGGCCCGCTTTTAGTGTAAAAAATGATGGACATATTCGAAGTTTACTGCCCATCGTCCACGTGACACTTTGCACTATCTACCCATGGAGCACCACGACGAAGCTACAGAGTCACTCATTGTTATAATGATGCGATTGAGCCTTCTAACTGGAGTTATTAAACTTAGCTGTCTTGACATATTCATCGATTATCAAAACTAGTTAATCTCAAAAGTGTATTTATTCTTCAATTTAATAATATATATTAGCAAGCAATTTAATAATATATATCCTCTTTTTTTTTTATTTAAGCTATTATACAGAATAGCCAGCTGTGATTATGTAGGAAAATAATATTCTCAATACAGATAATACTTTATATTGACATAAGCAGCAATTAAGACAGTTCTGCGTTTTCTTTCATCGTCTCCCATATCCACCTACAGGTAGCGTCCGACCATTAAAAGTTGAAGGTCGCGCTCTGAAAGCAGATGTGATACTCTCCACAATTCGATTCTGTCGGCTATGTGACGTCTTAAAATGTCTGACTTTAATTAACATCAGGCAAAACAGCTGGATCACAACAAATGTGTAGCAGTTATTCGAGCAATGATTATACAGCTATCTTCAACAGTAATATACATGGATCAGTTGAAACGAATGAATACACGAACTAAGCTTATTATTTAAATGTATCCCCCTTTTAATTGAGTGAATAGTAACTCAATTTGAGGTACGACTCAAATTCGTTCTATGAGGCATAAGTAAAACTTCACCTGTTGCATACTATCTGTGTTTCTCCACCCGTTATTTTATTTCCAAGTATATTTTCACTTGCGTTCAGTAATAAAGTCAGATGTCATACGTAAAGAAATTCCGTAAATTTCACTTGGACGCGCTAACATGGAAATATTTAAGCTTGATTCAGGTGTTTGCATGCGATAATAAAGATGAAGTAATATCCTGAGAATGTGCACGCAACAGAAAAAAAAACGGTTCTCAGTATCAAAGAAACGATGTAAAGAGAAAAGCTTAATGTGATAGTTATTAACACCGAAAGTTTATAAGTCAGGTTTTTAGAGGTCGCAAGTGTCTAAGTGGAAACATCATGACGTTGTTTTTTCATTTTAATCAAGTCTAAAACGTAACCTCTTTACGGATGTGAACTTGAGATCCCTGTCGACTTCAGCAATACTTGAACTAACAAAAACGATATTCCATGCTCAAATCTCACCCTAGCTATTGATTTGTATAGGTCTCCTTTTCCTGGCCGAGGAAACTACCCACATCATAAAAGTATGTAGAAAATATTCGGGGCAAACCTTAAAGTTAAAACTATGCATGCCTAGGCACGCTAGGTTCTTTATTTGACCGGAGCCGCATGATCCGCTTACAATCAGGATATTTGGCTGAAACATAACGTATTAGATACCCGAGAATAAGCTTCTGATTTCTAAAATTTACTCCACGCACATTACATCTGTTTTCAAATGAAGTGAGGTAACATAGCGACGTGCGACGAAGTCGACGAAAAAACGCCTAGTAGATCACGGAATGTACAGTCTTTTTCAGTTAGTTTTAGGGATAAAAGGATTTTTGCTTGGATAGCTTACTTGCAATTTGTGGCCTGATAGTTCAAAGCGAAGTTCCAATCCACCATTCTGCCTATCATCCGTAGCCAGAAAACCCTTCGAAACAGTCGTTACTACAAGATGCTGCTTCCATACAATCATCAGGCGTGAAACATTGAATTCCTACCTTGAAATATATTTGGCTTCGCAGGCAAGTATTTAGTAGTTTTGTTAAAACAACTTGCGCTTAACTTGTTAGTTAAAGATTTTTGCGATTTGCAAACATTATATAAAAATAGGGTTTGCTGATTCAAAGCACGCCATGCCATATATATACAGTGGGTGGCAAATCAAATAGACTTACCTCAAACTTGTTTCATTGGAGTGCGAAAAACCAAGCTGGAGTAATAGAAGCCGATGTACGCGAACAGCTGTTACAATATCTGTTTCAAAAATTAGCCATCTATTAGGGAAAAAATTTTTCTGGAAGGAAAGTCGTAACCGCAGTGTGGCTTAATACGACGATTGACAACTATTCTGTTTTTGATAAGTAGTCTCCTATACCTAAGGGTATAACAGTGTTTCACCCCACATAGAAGAAGCATGAGCGCACTACGTGCGACCGTAAAGGGCGACGAAATTTTCATCTATTGTATGCATATAAAATGTTTGCACATCTTGTATGAACTTTTGATATGAAAACGTATAAAGACTATGATAGCTTTAAGAGATTGGCTATCCACTATACTTAGCTAAAGCAAGTCTTAATTAGGCACTCGTTTACAGGTAGTGTCAAAGACTCTAAAGCGATATACTATTAATTTGAGCATAGCGTATTACACGTTTGCGCGTACGAAGTTCATTCTATCATCGTGCGGTCATTATGTATTGTACGTTTAATTTTCTAAAGGCTATGGTTTTTATAATAGAGTTCGTCACTATTTAACTGTAGAGCTGCGTTCGCTCTATAACCTGTATCAGAGGGACTCAATGAGCGCAAGTTCCACGTATAAGTAGAATATGTTTCATAAACACTTTATGATCAGTTTATCATATCAATACCACGTGCATGCTTATATTTTTTTCTAAACAATAAAGTAACTTTCAAGTTGAACTTGATTTTGGCCAAAGCCCTAGTAATCCCATTGGGTTTTTATTTAGCCTCTGCATGATGGAATGACTCGAGTGAAATAAATCGCTCAGCCTTTAATTCTTTAATAGCATTCCTGCTCCAATAGCACTAACCTAACTATTCAACGAGCCGTAGTGAGGACCGACACGTCTGGACATAGATATTTTTTTACGCAGAATGGACGATCGCGAAGTCTAACCGATACAAACATTTCTTATATTCCATGTACGCATTACAATATATACGTTAACCGCTACCCACGTCTAGTCTACTTTCCACCGGCTCTGCATGCCGATCTGCTCTGCCGATGACAATGACTGTCTACTAATATATATGAGCGTTTGTGTCACATGTGTAAAAACCTGTGTCGTCAAAATGATGGAACGCTATGAGAATCCAGCACAAAGGCACCCCGAAATTCGGCAGGAAATAGCCCGAGTCAGCCAAGTTTATCGTTCGCTTAGCGGAGGTTCGGAGATTCCCTAAAGTCCTTTTCGTTCAAGACGTCGTGTTTAGATTTCTTGGTATCTCGGCGGCAATGTTCTTATTCAGATACCGAGGGCCTATTGATTTTACGCCTTTTACACCACACCCATATATCTAATTTTTCATCCTTTTCCCCAATCCGTCCTCATCACTCTCTCGCCTTCTTTCACACGCTCTCTCTCTCTCTCTCTCTCTCCAATCCAGTTTCTAATCCCCACTCCAACTACATATCTGCCAGTTCCCTTGACTGCATGGCATGGTCCAAACACCGTCCATCCCGGGTTCGCTCCGCCATCTCTACTCCGTTAGATTGTACTCTGCTGTACTAGTAGCGAATGTAGTCGTACACGGATTATCGGCATGAGTACCGTATTGAGTTCCTGTATTCATTCCAGTGATCTATGCACCCGCCGGTATATATAGCGCGGGCTGTCTAGGGCTGCCGGATTTTGATACCCTCTCCATTCTAACCACTCTCTCTAAAAGTTCTACATCTCTACCAGTTCGTCGCTCGTTCTTTGGCTTCGCCGCCGATCACCTACAATGTACCCCTTCTCTGCTTCGCTCGATATGCTTCCGTTCGTAGGCAAAACGCCTCGGGTAAAATCGGTTCATCTCTATTCGAACGTGTTTTCACGGGTTTTCTCCACTGTGGAGCAGTGCCTTCTCTCGATTCAGTGCCACAGAGGCACTCTTACCCATTTGCACTGTCCTCCTTTTGCCGGCTGAAGTCCTAGCTCCCTACCGTTAAACTTACTCTAATTCTAACAGAGGCTCCTCCTAGTTATTGCTATATCCCTCTGATCTCTCTCAGCAGACTCTGTTTCAAAACTGCTGCCAGTACAACAGATTATGTACATACGAAAAAAGCGTTTTTGCACTAGTGCTACAGCAGCTTGTTTAAACGAAAGCCGCTAAAAGGCCGGTCGCTAGTTTCTCGCCGTTTCTAGCCCTTCCCTTAGTCTCGTTTATTCGACAACGTCGACAAAATGCTCTTTCCCTGATCATCGGTTAATCACGTCTACTCTCTTTTGTCATGAGCACATTCTACCTCCATTCTCTCTTGCTGCCTTATGTTTTACTGCTTTTCCGCCATTTTAGTTTGCTTCATGAATGCCACAACGACAATTATAAACGCCACCCCTTCGTTTGTCCTTGGTCGGCGCTGGACCACTCGAATTCAAGGTTGCATCTACCGGTTGTACCCAAAGAGACTTGGATGGTACGAGCAGCCGACATCGTGCGCTATGCCTTGACTGCTTGTCATGCCTTGAGGCGCTTTTCACACCAAGCACAGTGTAATCCATTCACTCGATTTTTTTCCATTCCCGCTTGCGTCGTTAGGCCTATCGGTTTTTTTGTCCCCTTGGCTCATTGTCGACTTCGAATCGACCGAAAATATCCATGGCTCACCTCATACTTGGTAATTCATTTACAGCTCCTT